CCGCCTCCTCCGCTGCCGGACTCTCCGCCATTCTCCGCTGCCCGTGCCCAGCCCGGGAGAGCGCAGCTTCCGGGACTCCACACCAGCGAGTCCGCCGGCCAGAGCGGCCCGCCCCCCCGCCCCCCCGCTCCTCCACCACCACCACCACCACCACCGAGTCCGGGCCAGAGTGTCCACCCGCCCCGCCCTCCTGCCACCGCCAGCACTCCGCTCACCACCATGGAGTCGCCTCCGACCTGCAGAGTGTCGCTGCCCGCCAAAGAGACGACTTTCACTAGAGCGTCCCGCTCCCTTAACCAACAAGTTGCCGACCATAGAGTCTTCCCTGGGACTAGAGCGTCGATCCAGTCAACGAGACGCCCAGTAGCGAGGAGGAGGACGGGGGCCCTGCTTTTCATTCCCGGGAGGCAATGGGCGTGGCCTGGTGGTGCAAGACTTTGCCGTTGCAAGGCTCTGTGCAGCTAGGGTGGTGCCTGGGTGTCATGACCTTTGCATACAGCATTGTCCTCGGCCTATACCTTTTGTGGAGGGTGATGATGTATCAGTGTGATGGCATTCATGATGTCATCACATTGCATCACAGCCTGAATGCACGCAGTGTAGGGATATCCGTGTGGGTCCCAGCATATTAGAGAGACAAGGGGGGTCCGGGAGTATTTTTTTATTGGACCAACTTGTGAGAGAGAACAGAGTACTTGTGGCACTTTAGAGACTAACAAATTTATTAGAGCAGATGCTCCTGTTCTTTTTGCGGATACAGACTAACACGGCTGCTACTCTGAAACTTGTGAGAGAGACAGGCTTTAGAGCCCCACAGAGCTCTTCTTCAATAAAAAGTATTACCTCACCCACCTTGGAATGTCTCTCTAATTTTGAGAGTGACTGTGCATTCAGTAATGTTTTGTCGGTCTCTTGCCATGATGCTGTCCTGTCAGCTCACCCGGCTACCCTCATGTTGTGTTTTCACCACTCCCGCAGGCAATGATCCTAGCTTCATCCTAGAATTTTACAGCCCTTTACAAACATTAATTAAACCTCAAAGCTTCTCTGAACTATAAAGCATTATCATACTCATTTCACAGAGATGGGAGATTGACAAAAACAACAAGGAGTCCGGGGGCACCTTAAAGACTAACAGATTTATTTGGGCATAAACTTTCATGGGTAAAAAACCCACTTCTTCAGGTGGGTTTTTTACCCACAAAAGCTTATGCCCAAATAAATCTGTTAGTCTTTAAGGTGCCACCGGACTCCTCGTTGTTTTTGTGGATAAAGACTAACACGGCTACCCCTCTAATAGATGGGAAATTGAGGCATGGGACATGAAAATCTTACCTGAGGTCAGGCAGCAAAACAGTGACAGAGCTTTGAATAGACCTCAGGACTCAGCCTACTGCTGGAATTTAACAGTTACATTCTTTTGGATCAATATATAGAACTTGAACCACAAATGACCTCAAATGTATATACTTTGCAGTAGTTACAAGTTGGAAATATTTGGTGAGCTTTCCTCACACAATAATAATAGTTATGGGTTAGGTTAAACCCCATTAAAACTTCCCAGCGTAACAGCCACCCTTCCATTCAAGGTAAATGAGGGAGCAATTAAATGCCACTTTGTTTAGCAACAGCCAAAACACTAGAGACCAAAGCCCAAAACACAGACCCACAGGGCAAGGCTGAGTGCAAGCTATGCCATGCAGGCTCAGGGGTTTCCCAGGGACTTATATAGCAAATGCAGGGGCTGGGTACTCACTGGGGAAAGGGAATGGGGTGCATGTAGGGTGACCAGACAGCAAGTGTGAAAAATCAGGATGGGGGTGGGGGGTAATAGAACCCCATATAAGAAAAAGACCCAAAAAATCGGGACTGTCCCGATCGGGACATCTGGTCACCCCAAGTGCATGTGAGGCTATGTCTACCCTTAAAACCACTACAGTGGCATAGCTGTAGCACTTCAGTGTAGACACTACAATGAAAGGAGGGGTTTTCCTGTCACTGTTGTAAACCCATCTCCCTGAGAGGTGGTAGCTAAGCAACAGACAAATTCTTCCAACAACCTAGCGCTGTCTACACAGTGGGTTGGGTCGGCTTAACTACGTCATTCAGGAGCGTGGATTTTTCACACCCCTGAGCGATGTAGCTGGGTCAATTAAATTTTCTAGTGTAATCCAGCCCTGAGACAGAGGCAATAAAGCAGACACAGTGGCAGGCCATGGCCAAGAAAGCCAAGGATACAGCCAGAGCAAGCCCCTGAGAAAAAGCCTAGAGAGAGAACTTGTTGGGCTGAGTGCTGGCTGAAAGAGGCTTGGAACTGTGAGCAAAGAAACTAGCTCCTGTTTGATCCCTCCTGTGTTCAAGGAAACAGGACTTTGTACATTTTTGGAAATAAACAGTATTGCATCAAAGGAATAACTATCATCAATTTCTCCTTATGGAAACAACTTACAGGATCCCAAATTTTGGCTAACCACTTAGGTCAAAAAGAGGTAACAATACTACAAAGTCACAATTGACTAACAATAATTCCTCTTCAAGGTCACTTTACTGGGGGCACAGAAAGGAAAATCAATGACCTGGAAAAATAAAAAAGTTGTTAGCCACAAATCAGTGCAAAAGAGATCTCTGCCAGGAAAAGTCAAATATAATAAGTAATTTCAAATTCATTTAGTGAGTCACAAAGGCCAGGGAAGGCCAAAGTGCAGTCTGCAGTTACTCATTTCTCTACTAGACAGGAGCAACCCAGAGAGACTACACCTCCCAACAATCCATGCTTTAACATACCCTTAAGCAATGTGTGGCCTTTTATTTACAATAATACCAACAGGGAGGGGCGGGTGACTTGGCAGTGGCACCTTAAATAAAAGAAGTGCATAGAAAATAAACAGGTTTAGAAACATCTGTACAAATATTTACAGCAGAGGAAAGGGGAGCCCTCACCCCCCCTCGCAACACACCCTCACCATAGAAAAAGGAAAGAGGCTCCCAATCAGGAGCTGATATTCACAATTTGGGAGCTGGGATTAGGCAGACTCACCTGTCCTTGGGTCTCTGCAATGTAGATTGGGGGGGGGTCATTGTGCACCCCCTGCTCTGGGGTGACCCCCCAACAGTTTATCCTAAGATGAAAGTACCTCTGCTGTGTTCTTATGTATGTTGTACATAGCTTTAGGACTCGTGACAATTTGCCACAGCAGCCCCTGTTCTAGGATATCCCCTTGTAAGATCCAGTTATTCCAGACATCTAGTGCTAAGGGTAGACTTGACATTTAGATTACAAATGGGGAAATATCAAAGAGTCTAATCAGCTGATGGGAATTCTACTCTGTGCTTGTCTCATCACTTGACTCATGGCTGACTGGCTAATCACTTTTCCCCTCATGGATACAATTCTAACACTGGAAGAGGCCAGATAAAACAAGCAACAATATCTGACCCCAAGTTGTTTCATTGTAACTGGGTACTAAAGCTGGACAGGTTTTTGGGCTAAGAGCCGGATTAAACTAGCTAACTCACTTCAGAGTAGGCACATTGCATGCAGAGGCCCCAGCAAGCCACTTGCTGGTGTTAAGGTCTATCCTTATAGATAGAGTCTGCACTCACCAGGCAGGCAGACTCTGTGAAGCAGGCATCATTGAGACAATATAAGTCTATCATAAACCAAAAGCTTGCCTTTCTCACCAACAGAAGTTGGTCCAATGAAATTTATTACCGCACCCATCTGGTCTCTCAAATATCCTGGGATGCCGCTACAACTACACTGCAATAAATGCAAGCATCACCCTTAGATGGGCTCAAGGGGATGGGATCCACACAGGGACGTATGAGCCACGATGCTCAGTATCACAACGCCTAATTTTTAGGCACCCAGAAAAATCACAGGAATAGCACTGCAATCCACAAAGCCTGAGTTAGGTGCCTAGGCTCCCTATACAATGAATGGGGACACAGAGGCACCTTACAGGAGACTAAGCTAGCCACAGGAAGAAGCCGAGAGGGGTGTGTGCTAAACCCCCACCCCTCTCACAGAGATAGCTGCCTACCCTGCTAATGAGTCTCAAACCTGGGGAAGATAGGTGTTGGCCCCCTAAGTCACATGTGGAGCCCCAAACAAAACAGCCAGGAGGAGGTGCTCCCTTATAACCTTTAGCCTAGTGGATAAGGGTACTCAACCAAGATGTGGGAGACCCCTAATACAAGTCCCTCCTCCACGCAAGGGCCTATGGAAAAAGATAAAGGTACCAGTGATGTGTTATTGCCACTCCCATCTTTCCTACTGCCAGAGAGGAAAAGAGGGAGCTGCCAGGCTCACGTGGGATGATTGTAGAGTACTACATAGCTGCTTCCTTTATTTATGCTTAAGGCCAGCCTTAAGTGGGGGTAAGTCAAGCATGTTAAGAAACCACACCTATAAACAAACCAGTCAGGCCCAGATCCTCAGAGGTACTGATGCACCTTACCTCCATTGAAATAAGAG